TTTTTGACAGATTTTAAACTTTTGCTCTGTCCACATCCCATTTATCAAATCATGACTATACAGCTTCAAACATGTTATTTGACTCAACTAAAAAAGTATAAAGGGCATCCCAAGACCAAAAAAGTTTAAGCCCCCAGGAAGAAATCTTGATTAAAAGAAACATTTTAACAATTGTAGTTGGGAAGCAGAAGTATCTTGGTTGAGAGCATATGATTTAGGTCAAGTAAATCTAGAATTGTATATTAGCTCTGTCCCTTACTAAATGAGTGAACTCTGATGTGCTGCTACACTGGTGGTTCCCAAACTTTACTGCATGGTAAAATCACCTGAGGAGCTTTAAAAATATCCTGATGCCCAGCTTAGTCTTATACCAATTAAATCAGACTGAAGTTGGGAGCCAGGCATCAGTGTTTTCAAAGATCCCCAGGTGATTCCAATGTGCATCAAAGTTTGGTATATCTTTTGAGGCTCCTTATCATTTACAGATAGGAGTGATAAAAATACCTATCTCATGTGGTTTTTATGTGGATAAAAATGGAATATATATATATATCTTGTAACCTACTTTTCTGACATATATAATAAGTGCTCAATAAATGGGAGCTAATTGATTATATTAATATATATCAATTATACAATTGATTATATTATTGCTGTCAGGTGACCAGAATTTTAACGTAGAAATGCTTGGACAGTTTACTTCATTACCTCAATCAGGAGGTGATTGCATAAAAATAAACCTGTGGTTCAGTCTGACCTTTTACTGAAAGCCTTTCAGTCCCTCAGAGCTAGTTCCTTTTATTATAACAGGGTCAAACTCCATGTGCACTTTTGGCAATTTACCATAACTTTAAATAAACAAACTACAGAGATTCATTAACCTGCATTTTTCCCCCATTTCTCAATAGGAAAATTTCTGGCAATGCAATGCTGCAGTGGGGCCCCTTCTTATATTGGACATTTCTGGCTGCATTTGAAGGGATAGTATTCTTCTTTGGGACTTATTTTCTTTTTCAGAATTCATCCCTAGAAGAAAATGCAAAGGTAAAAAAAAATGACATTGTTCTTTTGGTATTATAAGTATGGCTTATCTTTTTTCCATGAGCACTGGATCAAGTATACACATATTCTAATTGTAATCATTTTGCAATTTTTTTAAAAGGTAGACTAATTCTCACAACTTCTTTAGAACAGTAGAAGTGTTGAAGTATAAAATCACTTCCTATGTGCATGGCTAACTAGAGAGCTTATGTGCAAAACATTTGGAAGCTTAACTTAACTTGGCTGTAATTTTTATTGGATGAACAAAGTTCTTGGGACCTCAGACTTTGGGCCACTGCACTTTGATTTGAGCAAGGCTTTTTCTGTTTTAAAAGGAAAGTCTAGACCCACTCAGTTCTTATTCATAGTGGCCTTCCATGCTTAGAGTTCAAGGGGGTAACTGACATATGGAATTCCCTTCTCTTCCTCCTTCCCTTCCACATGGTAGCATAGTATTTTCCTGAAAGGCTACACTGATCCTGCCATTGCCTTCCCAGCAAGCACCAAATAGTTTAGCCCCGACATTGGAATGATTTTGCCCTGTCTGCTGTGGAAGAGAATGGAATGATGTCTTTCTACAGCCACACAGTGGAAAATCAAACCAACTTGTATGCTGCTTTCACTGTGTTTGCTATTTCTGGGCTTCCTCTTTTATGGTAATTCATTATTTATCATCATAATGTGAAGCAAAACTAAGGTTCAAAAAGAATTTACTGAGTACAATGACTGTGTCTAACCTAGAATCAGTATCTGTTAGGGAAGTGATAGGCTCAGTGGGTTTGAATGATACTTTAAATTATTATAGTCAAAACCTCTCTAATTTGGATTGACAAGTCAGTTTAGTATGAATCCATTAAACTTATTAATCACCATTAACTTTTGAGGAAATACAAATCTAGTACTTTAGAATAGGTTCATGTAGCAATTACCAAAAAGTGTGCTCTATTAATCTCTCTGCGTGTCCTTGGGCAAGTCACTTCAGCTTTCCAAGTCAACTTTGCCCATCAGTAAGAAGAAGGAATTCAATTTTATGATTTCTCAAGTCTTTAGCTTTATGAATGATTTTGTGACTTTCACTTTTTATTTGGCACATAAATTATATAGAGCTGACTCTTGCTTTTTAAAAAAAATGTGCTGCAGAGTAGGTGGATATTCTGCAGTCCCATCGACATGGTTCTTTTGCTTAGCAAATTCTTCAGGTGGTGCATGGGGAGCCTCAACACAGCCTATGTCCAATCCATCACCCATGTTCAGTCCATGATGTCCATATTAATTAGATTTTACTGTATATGTCACCTTCCTAAATGTTTGCTAAAGTTACAGTAAGTGTAAGAACTGTTATCAGCAGTTAAACATAATGCCCATGTATGATTTGATCAAATTCTTTTTTTTTTTTGCTTCTATTAACCTTAATTTTTTGTTTTTATTTTTGGAAACCTTTTACATTTCATTTTCTGTTTTAATGTTATGCATTCAGATCTTGACAGCATTTGGTAAGCATATGTGCCATTCATTGCCATCATTTGGGTTTATACATGGTATCGCTTTTATTTGATGTGCACATGCTAACAGCTCTAATGTTTACAGTCAAAAATTAGACTGTTTTTAAAGTGTGAGTCCATTTGTCTGCATATTAGTCCTTAGTTCAGAGCTTTTGTTTTATATTATAGAAAAAGCCTATATCAGTCTCTTTAGAGATATGAGTCATGCAGTGACTTTTGATGAGCATTGTTAGTGGAATAGTGTCTTTTTTTCTGCCTTTATCATAGCAATGTTTTCCCTGTTTCATGCTGCTTGGAATAATGGAAATAAGTGCTACCAACCACAAATGTGGTTTGCCTGACCAAGAAAATTTACAGTCACAATTAAATCTAGCAATTTGGCCTGATCCTTTAACTTGATATTCCCCAAACAATTCATACAATACTTTTTTGCAGTTATAAACAAGATTATATTTGACTTTTCTTTTTTATGCAGGTTTGTGTATTCTTGGTACATGTAATTATTAATTTTTTTTCAGGTGTATGGAAACTGGACTTTTGGAACCATTGTTTTTACAATCTTAGTATTCACTGTAACTCTGAAGGTTAGATTTTTATTTATTCAAGTATGTTTAACACCATTTTTATAATACTTTCTAGTCTTGTACTAATACTTCTTTTTTGTCTTTTAATCTTTAATTTTATTATGGTTGTCATCCAAGTCTGAATGCTTACTAAAATATCTATGATATTAGAGATTTAGGCATTTGTATACTATTTGTGAGTCATTTTTTACTGTATGTTGTCTATCCTCTTTATTTCATTGTTTGTTTTTAATTCATACACCATACTTACGTCGGAAATCTGTTCCTTCTTTCCAGCTATTTTCAAGATATTATAAGTGGTATATAATCAGACTGTGTGTGTGTTTTTCCATGTTAAGTACTTGAATAATTTTTAAAGTTTTATATTTGTTTAAGAATGCCAGGCTATAAATGAATTTGAGTACTTAAGACAGTTCAGCAAGATCGGTAGTGTGAAAATAACTTGGTAGTATGAAATTTTATATAATGTATTTATCACTGAAATTTATATTAGTGATCAAATGCATAAAAATATATAGCAGATAATATACAAGAAGCGTTGTTTAGGCAAAATCATTGGCACCATGTAATGGTGGCCCTGAAGCCTTTATAAATGCTACCCTTAAGGCTCATGAATTGGGATTGCCTTATAGTTGAAAAAATAATCCAATTCTTTGATGGTTCCAGTAATAAACACATCACATATGGTCCAAGAATGAGTGCCTTTAAATGAATTTTAGTATGCCCAGTAGTCAGAACTAGAATTAAGAAGTGTAATAGACTTCTAATCATTTCCCCTCTAAAATTTAATTCCTGATTAATTTTTTATACCAAAAAGAACTAACATATGTTTGTATCTACTATTTCAGTGATATTTTGGGACTACCAAAAATGTTACAATTCATCTCAGTTTAGCTACTTAATAGTAGGGTATAATCTTGGACAAGTGATTTGGTTTCTCAGTATCTCTATTTCCTCTTTTATAAAATGGAGATAAAAGTAGCATCTACCTCTTTTAGGATATTTTGTGAGAAATCAACTAATGATACATAAAGCACTTGCAATGGACGCTGGCACATAGAATGTGCCCAGTACAATAAATGTTAGTTATTTATTACTATGATTTACAGGGTCATGATTTGAAATGGAAGCCTCCCCACCCTTTTTCCCACCTGGCCTTGTGTGCAGTCCCAGGGCTTTCAAGTGCCCTTCATAGTTAAAGTTAGCCTTACTACAACATCTTTCACTAATCCTTCAAAAGACATCCACTCCCTCGTCTTTGGATGGATATTATTGTAACATTATCTCTCACAGCCCAGAGGATGAGCATTCAGGACTGGGCTACATTAACAATGTTATCAACATCCTGTTTATGAGTATGAAACTAACAGAGAGCTAAGGACCATGGTGTCACAACAAGTATCAAAACTGAGATACCACCTCCTTTTTAATAATTCAATGCTAGCCACATGTGGCTCTTTGGCCCCTTGAGTGTGGCTCTTCCACAAAATACCACGTGCGGGTGAGCACATACACTGCAATTGAAACTTCGTGGTCCATGGGCAGAAGTTGGCTTTTGGCCTGGGCGAGTCTATTTTGAAGAAGTGGCTTTAGAAGAAGTGGGGGGTGTTGGTCAGTCGGGCAACGGGAGACGCGGCGCAGGGGGGCCGTGGGATACGAAGTGCGGGGGAGGTACATTGTTTTGAGGTATGTTCGCTGAGGTCGGCCCCTTCCAACTCTCCCATCCACACTCCTCTATCTGAAACAAGTATACAAGACCAGTGTGGATGGGAGAGTTGGAAGGGGTTGACCTCAGCAAACGTGACTCAGTGGATAGAGCAGCAGCCTGCGGACTGAAGGGTCCCAGGTTCAATTCCAGTCAAGGGCAGGTACCTTGGTTGCAGGTACATCCCCAGTAGGAGGTGTGCAGGAGGCAGCTGATTGATGTTTCTCTCTCATCGATGTTTCTAAGTCTCTATCCCTCTCCCTTCCTCTCTGTAAAAAGTCAGTAAAATATATTTTAAAAATAATAATAATTCAATGCCCTGGATATTAATTCATGTAACCCAGAAATTATAAGCAAGTGAAGCAGACGGTACTCCCTTGTTTTTAGATTGCATTTGAAAATCCCAGTTCCATAATCTATAGAAACAATCAGCCCTGACAGAAACATGAAGGATTTTAATCTAGGGTAGTGGTCGGCAAACTCATTAGTCAACAGAGCCAAATATCAACAGTACAATGATTAAAATTTCTTTTGAGAGCCAGATTTTTTAAACTTAAACTATATAGGTAGGTACATTGTTATTAACTTAATTAGGGTACTCCTAAGGCTTAATAAGAGCCACACTCAAGGGGCCAAAGAGCCACATGTGCCTCGCAAGCCGCAGTTTGCCAGCCACGGATCCAGGGCAACTGAAAATGTTATTAATTTAATTGAATAGGTAAGGATTTTGCAATTGAAAGGCACACTACATAGTCAGACCCATGATCCATTGCTACATGATGCAGGCATATAGAGCTAGTTTCCTTTGTATTTAGTAAACCCCTTCAACTCCTGTCTTTGTTGTGCTTGAGCTATCAAGACTCTTTGTGTAGTTTGTTTACCCTTCCTAGCTACCCCTTCCCTCTCCTGTTTTTAGTATACCTGCCTCCACCAGCTAGCCTTCACCTTTTGCCATCATCTCCCTGGCCACCACTACCTGAGGACTTGGGGCTCCAGACTTCTAGATGTTATTATTACCTCATTCTTTGCCCTTCTTTCACTAATGAGACATCTGTAGCCCCATACTTGCTTGCTTGACCTCATCGCTACACCTGTACTCTGGAGTCTAGAGGACTTAGGACAGAGTTGAGCACTTTCATACCCTAGCTCTTTGAAAATCTTAGATTTTTACTCATTTTAGTTCCATTCTTTCCTAGAAGCCTGGCCCAAGCTAGGTGCTCCCGTACGTATCATATTGTATACAAGTTATCAGGTACCATAGTGTATTATAGCTTGGTGCCGTCTGTACTCATCATGAAATCTCTTGTGTTATATCTTTTCAGCTTGCCTTGGATACTCGCTTCTGGACATGGATAAATCACTTTGTGATATGGGGTTCTTTAGCCTTTTATGTATTTTTCTCATTCTTCTGGGGAGGAATTATTTGGTAAGCAGCTGTATTTATGTGAGTAATATGTAAATAGGAAAATAGGTGTATATATATATGTATGTGTATATATATGTATATATGTATGTATGTATATGTATATGTATATGTATATGTATATGTATATATACATATATTGTATGTGTTCCCCCAAAAAAAACAACAACACAATGAGATGGTGATTTTAACATATAACCCTCTACGTATTGAGTGGTATATATTCTATACTCTGAATACATCTGTAGTGACATGAATGATAGCTATATACCATAAAGAGAGAATAGGGCCCAAATAGATAATAATGTAGCTATTTTGTGTAGAATCTTTACAGGATGAGTACTCCCACTATAAATCACATGGGAGGTCATGCTAGAAATTAGTTTCACTTCACAGAAAGGTGTTTACACACTTTTAAGTTGAAAGATTCAGCCGGGGACTACCAGAAAGGAGGTCTTTTGAGTAACTTGTGAAGTATTTTTCATGTGAAATCTCCCTGAAATTAGCAGTGTTACTGGCTAGTATTTAATATTGAGGACATGCCATCTTATATAATCAAAGCTTTTAAAAGTATAATTAATGTGGCTTCCCCTGATAATGATGTCAGCAGCAGAGAATATGGCTGGAGTAAACCATAAAGATTCTAGGAGTATGTATTTTCACTGGTTTGAACAAAATCATATGTACAGAACATTCCATGTTATCACAGAGATGTAAGGACCATGTTTTTGTCCCTTGAGACTTAATTAGAAGAAATTCTTACTGTTTTGAAAAGCTTTTCAAAATAAAGGCTTTAAGAAGTAAAAATATGAAAAAACCCAATCACTTAAGGAAGTACTGCTCCAAAATATGTAAATGCAGCATATATTTGGTGCCTATACAGGTAATTACTGAAGTGGTGAAGCTGAAGGAAGTCTATTTCAAAACAAAACAAAACAAATTAATCAAAGTTGATTAGCCAAATATAATATGCAACTATAATTCTTACAGTACCATAATCCTATGAATCTGTGTAATCAGCATCTGAGCTAATTATGCAAAATTTCCATAAGAATAAAATGTCTCGAAAACTACTTTCTCTTATCCTTATTGATTTAAATAAATCCTTTATGTGATTAAGACATCACCATATCTGTTTCAATTCATTAGAAGTACTTACTAAATATGAAATATTGATCTTTTATTTTCTTGCCTAGAGTGTTATCCTTAAGTAGAACTGTCTAAGCTACTACATGAATGTAAAATTTATCCTATAAAATAACCAGCAAATTGTGACTAGAAACCATGTGAAACTTCAGCTGAATGCTAGTTGCAGTTAATATCTCTGGACATGTTCAACCTTAAGGCATTGTAGTGCACTCCATTTTGGGGGAGTGGGCAGTAAGAATGATGATTTCTGAGCCCCAAACTCAATCCAGTAATATCTTCTGTTTTTTTTTTACTGCTCCCCTGCAAAGCTCCATAGATGTCAAGGTAAAAAAGAAAAATCTAGAGATATTAATCACGAGCATTATAGGTACTATGCAAAGGAATGCTCTGTGGCTAGCTGTCAGTTGTCTGCTGGAACCTATAGTTCAGTTAACTGTCTAAAAATTAGGATACTTTTCAAAACTAGACTGGGGGTAGAGCTCTGAGAAAATTTTTTCTGTATAGTAGGAACCCTACAAAGCCTGTTAACCCAAGCCTTATAAATTTCTCCACCTCACTGTTCTCACTTTTTATTCCTCAGTCTGGTCCTCATATATAGAGCCACAAGTTTGATTTTATCATGTTTCACAAGAGAGCATAAATGTCAATTTTTAAAGGAGAATCCAGCTTATCTTCAGTGAGCACTATGTATGACCTAATAAATGGGACCAACCAGTTATCTGACTAATCCAAGAATAGTCTGGTGTGAATCCCGACCTTGATTAGCCGTTCTGTGCTTTAGCTCAGGCAGAAGAATAAAACTTGTGCTTCTCAGTAGTTACCCAACAGTTCAGTGGATGACTTGGAATGAAATCCAACATCAGAATGAGGAGTCCTGGATTTTTGGACTGCAACACTTATGTCCTTTTAGCAATATTCTGCTGTCTTGTCAACCTATTTGACCCACAGTAGTACTCAGTATATATTTGTGGATGAGAATTGTAGAGTCCTCCCATTTGAGAGAGATAAGCTCTACAGTTATTTTTGTATTTACATAGGGATTGGGGGGGATTATAAGAATGTATTTTAAAATTTGAACATAGAGTACAAATCCACTCTCATATTAATAAAACAGCCAAGTAAATAAAATGCTATTTAGCACAAAAATTAATGTTTTTCTTGCATATGTTTGGGGCTCCAGTATTTTCTAATGTAAATAAATATTTTCCAGTTAGCAGCTTTAAAGTTGATTGCTTGGTTGTTTTAAAGTCAAGTGCTTTTTATTATCTTTTTTATTATAATTTTTTTTCAAACGTTTGATAAATGAAATCTGTTTATTACTTTAGAATATTATAAAGAACTTTACTTTTATAATGTGAATAAGGAAAATTCCTTTTAAATACAAAAGACAGTTTTAATTACACTTCTGTTTCATAGGACAGGAACTGATTTGTTTTTCCATTATGTATTTTCTTTCCACTCTAGGCCTTTTCTCAAACAACAGAGAATGTATTTTGTATTTGCTCAAATGCTGTCTTCTGTATCCACATGGTTGGCCATAGTTCTTCTAATATTTATCAGCCTTTTCCCTGAGATTCTCCTGATAGTATTAAAGAATGTAAGAAGAAGAAGTGCCAGGGTAAGAACTACGTTTATTAAACTGATTTTTGGAAGGGGCTTCAATATCTACCATGAAATAAACATCTTATTTAGAAAATTGCATTAGTTACAGCATGTTAAACCCCTCCTTACAGGTTCATCACTTAATTTCCTCTTCTGCATAAAAAGTATAGTAAAAACTTCGTTATCCAATACAGGTGGTAAGTAGTTTCCTTAATAGTGTTCTATGTGACCTTTAGCAATCCATATGGAGTATTACATATGCTCCATATGGAATTTTAAATGGAAAGATGATTTTTTTTCTTTAGCCTAGAATTTTCACACCAGGAATTTCCACACCAACATTCCAGCTTTAACCTTAGATATTTCACTGTGGGTTGTTCGCAGATTTTTTTTTTCAGTTGATAATCCCTATTGCCTTTTTCAAAACTTTCCCGTTCCTTTAATTATAGTGCTGCTTAATCTCTGAGTTGCTTCTAGCCCTGTCTGTCCAGCAGTATAATTGAACCAAAGAAAATTTTCTGGATGTGATTTCTACATCCTTACCCTCCTGAACACACTTGTAAAAATTCAAGATTGTTTCATAAGTGTGTTTTTATTGTTACTGCTTAAATTGTAACCTTTTGTGGAAATGAGAAGTTATTGCCCTCTGGCAGCCTAATTGCTTGGTCCTGCGTTGTCTGATATCTTTGAACATTTCTATAAAAGTCTTTACAGTGAAAGGGATAGATTAGCCTGGGGGAAATCTTGTGGCAAATTTTGACCAACATGCTAATTAAATATGTCATTACTGCCAACACTCTCATTTTGCCAAACAAAACCCCGTTTCTATCATATTGACACCAACTATATCTTGTAGCCCCCCCCCCCCCCCCCACCTGACCTATTTGATCAAATTTGCCAACTAGTTTAGCCACAGTGCTGGTTTGTCTCCATTTATTTTTTCTGGCCTGTTGAATTGATAGAATCCAGTGGTTGTCATCATACAGACATAAGGAACTAAAATAATTATAGTGGGAATATCTTCAGTGATTAGATATATAAAAGAGGAGCATCATTGTTACAATCAGTATTGGCCCTAATCAAAAGCAAATAGACTACCAGTGGCAAAAGCCACATTGATTCTTGGTATACAAGGCCAGTCAGTGTACAGTTAAGTGGTTAGAACTTGCTTTAATTCCCTGCTTCTGCATGCCTTATGGGTAGATCTGGACACAATAATGTTAACCTAGCTAAGACTGCCTTGGTCTGCTCTTTAATCTTTCCAGTAGACCCCTGACTAACTTCCTTCAGCCTGGCATTTAGTCTTAGGATGGGAAAGTGACATTTACTTGTATGATTTTTACCTTAATATCAGTTGAACAGGGGTAAAACAAATTGATATAATAGGTTCCTCCCAAAATGGCTCAAGTGGCAATTTGAATAAAGCCAAATAAAAAAATGTCAAAATAATAAATGGTTTGGGGACTTGTCATAATAGAGAATTTGTCTGGGAAGAATCTCTTGAGTTGTTCTTCCATTCTCCTTATTTGGAAGTATACTTTGGGGTGCTCCTAAATGTTTTTCTTATTTGGGGTAGTGGAGCACATACTAAATAATGGCTCACACCCATCAGCTTCATGCTCTATAGACGTTACAAAAATCTTCAGAAATCCAAACTTTCAAACATATTATCTTATCCTCCTCTTTAGGCACTTTCTTTAAAAAAAAATTACTTAGGTGATAAGAGCTACTAACAGACATAAAAAAATTAGATACTGGCTGAAGGTGACTTTTATATAAATTAAATGGAGGAATTCTACAAAGCAGTCACAGATAAAGACTAAAACATTCCTAATTTCTGTTGAAAGCATTCAATTCTGGGACTGCAGCCCTATTTACATAGCAAGCATAGAATGTTGCAGGGGTTCAGCATGAACTCTGTTTGCCATGGGTGGAAGAATTCTAGTGTCTGTGCTGTAGCTTGGCATGCTGATGTGCTAGAATGATGAGGAGAATTTCCATAATCACATCCATTCACTCATTCATTCATTCTTACTTTCATTGAACCAATGAACATGTTGAACCACCTAATGATGAACATCTCTCTATATGCAATGTCTGAAAGTGGTTTCAGACACTACGTGATTTTGAGAGTTGCAGATGAGCCAGAATGTTGTGGGCACTCATAGTGCTGCTACTTTTTTTTTTCATGTGTGAAAATGCAAGAGCAAAGTAGTGCATATGAATGCATAAAGGCCAACTAAAACATGGCAGCCATGGTTATTCTGATAAGTCACATGTTTACATAAGACCCTATTTGGATATATCAAAGAGACAGAGCCCACTTCTAAGATAAAGGAGAAAGAATATCTTAATGACCAACAGTCTGCCATCTGGGTGACCTACTACTTTGTTCAATATCCCTTGTTAAGGCATTGGCCTCATTTTAAAGAGAAGAAAAATATTCTTTTACACTAGTTTGGCCTCACAACTGACACACTCCCTAATGGGATAAAGGATGTGTCCCTGCCTATAAATAGAAGGCTCTTTGACCACCAACCAGTAAGCATCTTGGTACTTGGTACACACTGCCAGAAATGCCTATGGCAAGTAGGCTCACAGTGCTATCCTCATGTTGGTCTTGCCAACATGAAGGGAATTTAGCAGTGGGTAGTGAAAATATCTCCATGACTTTAGAGAAAGCAGCTAAGACATTTACATGTAACAATTACAGAAGCAGCCTTCTGGTGACTTCCATTCCCTGAGGGCCCACTATAAGTTAGCTACTATACTAGGTGTTGGTAATTCAGGGATGAATCAAAGGAGGCTCCAGTCATAAGGAGTCTCACTCTGATTAAGTTATAAAGTGGATTCATATGATATAAATCAGAATAGTAGACTAAATGATATGGCTTGATTTAAGACAACTGAGGTATTTCAGTGTCTGCATCACTACCTCCTGAAGCCACCATAGCCAAGCTCTGCCTTGGCAGTAGCATTGTAAAGAATTATGCTATCTTCAAAAAGGTGAAGGGATTGAAAAGTACAGAATAGTTATGGGATGTAAAGTACAGCATAGGGAATATAGTCAATAATATTCTAATAACTATGTATGGTGTCAGATAGGTACTAGGTTTATCAGGATGATCACTTTGTAAGTTATACAAATGTCTAATCACTGGATTGTATACCTGAAACTAATATAATGTTGGATGCCAACTGTAATCGAAAAATAAAAAATAAATTATTTTTTAAAAGGTGAGGCTAAAAAGGAATTCTGCTGCCTTCAGAAATAGGTTCCCTAAGTAATTTAAATCAAAGATGTGGTTAAGTTATATATTCCTCAGCTATATTTTGAGCAATATGCTTAATTTTTTTAGCTAAAATTCCATCATTAAGGATCATAGGTCTTTTCTGTTGCTTATAACTCAACAAAGCTGCACTGCCATAGTGCTGCCAGAATATTATGAAACTACTGTTGAGCACTGAACAGTGGAGCAGCAGGATAACACTTCGAAGAAAATTTAAAGTTTAGGATTTGGGGTATTTCAAAAAATTGTGTTCCCCTCTGAACACAATTGTTGGGCTATCTCTCAGTCCATAAAATACATCTAGACTTTTTGGCCAAGTAATAAATACCACTTCCCATTTCCAGTGGAGGAATTTCCACATATAAGTTTTACCATGTAAACCACAACAATCAAAAGGGAGGCTTGACTTTGCCTACTAGACATTGGGACACTATAATCCAATGGGAAGGGACCCAACAACAAGGTGAAGCCTAGTATGGGATGTCTGCACAAACAAAAAGAAATACTCCATTATGAAGGGAGCTCTTTCAGAGTGGAAGACAGGAAAAGGACGAATGTCAGCTACCTGAGCAAGATTCCCAGAGAAAGCACTTTGAAATTTTTGGAAAATGTAATTTATCTTTATAATAACAGTGACAATCATGATTACTATTGAAATGCTGACAGTCACGTACACCCATTGGTTCTGAGGAAAATAACACTGTGAACTGGGTTAGACAAAAATAAAGTTGAATCCTAATGTCATGGCTGTTGAGATGGACATTTATGCATTGGCCTCTTTGACATACTGCTAACTGAGCCGGTGTCAAAGCTCTCTAGATGACTGCAAAGGAATGTGGAAATTTCATACTGTTTCAGCTCATTATCTCCCATCCTTCTCACCTCTCTCCCCTACCAATTGCTAGCTATATCAATTTGATTGCTTTAGATATTTTCCATGCTCTCTACTGCCTTCTGTACTTTCATATTTCCTTTTTCCCGTTATAAAGTAACCGAATCTATAAGCTTCTAAATTTTATGATTCATAGAAATAATTTTATCTTCGATGGTTGGATACAAGGTTTTGAGTGCACCAAAATATGCTTGTCATTACAGTCTTAAGTAGATAGGCTTGTATATTAAACATGGGGTTGAGGGACTTGGTATCATGTTAATCTTGTAAGGTTTTTGCCCACAAAATAGAAGACAAAGCAATTTTTAAGTAAAAAAATTAAAAACTAATATTTCTCTAGCTTTATCCATTTATAATTTGCATGTTACCAACTTTATTTAAGGTAAAATATGAACAGGAAAAATGTAGTAATTTTAAAACATGACTAAGTCAAACTATTTGCCTTTAAAGTTTGTTTATTAGATTCTGCTGGATACATGTATTACTTTAACTGGTATCTTTTTTTAAGCCTATTGTCATTAGTCATTAAGTAGATGATATGGGTAATTAGCAGCATTGTTAAATTTATCCCTGTAGTTGACTACTCATCTTCTGTTTGCCTTGGGCAATGCCAAAACCAAGTCTCAGGCATACAATAAGAAAGAAAAACATAACCTTTTAGGTTTTCTGATTAAACTATATCAACACTTGCTTTTTCTAGGTGTTTTAAAGGAAAATTTTATAGCTCTTTAACCTACCCTTTTAAAGAAGGCTCTGTAAGAAAAAGGAAGAAACCCATCAAATTATGTTAGAATAAATGTAGTTAAGCACTCGCCCAGAGACAAATGATTCTAAAGTGTGGTTTCATCAAATGTTTTCCCCACAGTGCTTGTTTTGATTAGGTTTTTAACCTGCAGCTGCCCAAAGGCAGTCAGTCCCTTCATATTGTATCTGTGTAATTGCATAAGGGAGCTAGTCACTTCAAATAAGGTTGGTGATGCAGCCTGGACATAGCTCTCCAACCAGTGGATTTTGAACAGTGTAGCTTAGTGAAATAATGATTAGAGATAAGCCTTATTTCAATGAGAAGCATGTCTTTAAATTATTTTATTCAAAATAATCAATTTTCCCATTAACTAAATAATCTTAAATTGATATATAGAGAAGTAGTAGTTTGCACATATAATAGACTATTCCTAACTCTAATTCTACTTTTACTTGTAACGTCTTCAATACTAACATGCCATTTCAACTTTTAATTGTCAGGGTTTCTTTTTAAATGTCTTACATTTCAGAGAATATTTACCTTTTTTTTTTGGTTTCTGCATTTCTCTTTTTTCTACTGCAATTTTCCACCTTTTGTGCAATTGTGAACAAGGTAACGAAACGCCTCCCTTCCTCAGGAACATCTACTATCTTCATGCTTTCTCAAACTTCCAGCAATCACAGTTTCTCTTGGAGTGAATAAGGTGATTTCCTTTCTTAATGTACCAACTTGCTTGCATTCTCATTTGCTTGACACCATTTTCTGGTTCTCTATGAAAAATTACTTCTCATGACTCATTTTTATATCTTCTACTGATACTTAAAAGAGTATTTGTCATTTTCCTTTAATCATTTGTTCATCTTCTCAAATTGTCACACTGGACAGGAAATTATTTCAAAAACTTGGACAGTAAGTCTCTGGTCTCGTTGATTCCTACTGTGCAGTAGAAGCCACGGCGTGTTAGAGCCAATCAGTTCACCAACACAGGACTGTTTTGCACAATTTCTCTTTGTTCGGTACACTGACAGCACTGCTACAACTCTCAGAGGTGTTCACCAAAAGGATGGTATGGTTTACTAATCAAAATATATTGACTCATCTACCACATAACCTACCAGTGTCATTTCAAAAACCCAAGTTTGGCACATATTACTAATGTCTGTATACTTCTACCATGAAAACAATTCAATTCAAGTTGGACACTTTCTTAGGTCTTTAAATGTATTTATTTAAATGTTATGCATTTGTTATACTGTAATCATTTGTACTTTTGGCCAGAAGAGTAGTCTATAGAAAGTGATTTTTTTCTTCTACATTTTTAGCACCAGGTAGGTTAACCAATCTTCAAATCCTTTAAGTATTTTTACCTCACTATTACAGAGAAATCTGAGCTGTAAAAAGGCATCTGACTCATTATCCGCCAGACCTTCAGTCAGACCTCTTCTTTTACGAACATTCTCAGACGAATCTAATATATTGTAACAGGTACCTAGTGTTAAGTGGGCTGGCTTTAAAGAAAAAGATTAACAGCATTATAAAGAAAAAATGAAACTATCACTCTAAATTTTTTCTGCTGTTGGTGTGGTGAACTTTATATTATTCTTTGCTAAAATATAAAGATGCATTACTTGGAATATGTGGAAATATGTTTTTTAAATTTGCTACCCCCCCCAATAAAATTTTAGGCATTTTCCAGAGCTGAAGGTTAATCCAATATATTTAATTTGTAAGGGGCAAGTAGTCATGGCAGTGCCATCATATGAAAATGCTCAATAGTAATCAAGAAATATAATTTTGATTTTAAAATGTGTTTGGAAAATTGAAAAGAAATATTCCAAAATTGCATCTGTATAATATCAAGTCAGTTTAGCATTGCATGTTCTTTTGGGAATTATGTGAGAATAATTCAGTGTGTTTGTATCTCCATGTGCTGTGTCTGTGTGTTCGCAGGTTTAAACTTAATGTCCTTGTAAATGTCTGATCCCCAAATATATATTAATGAGCCAGTCTAATCACTTTTAATGCCAAGTTTTATTCAAGCTAAATGTTTCAACTTTCAGAGGTAGTAAAATCTTTCCTAGCCATTCAGGGGGGTGCTACCCTAATTATATAAAATGCTTCATAATTAATTTTTCTAAAAATGAGTAAATTCCTTTTATATCATTCTTTCATTTGCGCAAAAACTATTTGGGAGGAATTTATATGCTATGGGAGGAATCCTTGAACTCGGAATGACTCCTCCATGTGTATTTTGTTTCCCACTGCAGGGGCCTCTGTTACCCCAGACCTTTATAGGCCTTTTATCCATTAATGGAAATTTAGAGTAATTCATTAATGAGGTTTACAAGCTTGTCAGCTTGGAAACAACTCTGTACAGCTTAGGGCAGGGCTGTCTTTCATGCACACAGAAAAATGAATGATCATCATGAAAGAAATTGCAAGTCAGTTCATTTTGAAGCTAAGAATTATCAATCCACCTCATAGGCCCACTCTTTCATTAGCTATCAACTTCCCCACAGTCCAGCAAAGGAGAAATATTGAACGAATGGATTGATAACGTTGTTTCTTCTGCATCTGCTGTGTTATTCTGGAAGCTGACTAATTTTGACTCTGTCAGCATCTCCCTCGCCCAACCCCCATTTTGAGCAACTCACCTGCTTATATTTTCCCTCAGTAATGAATCTGCTTCCCTGTAGCCTTCAAAGTTTTTTGCCCCTTTGTCCCAGATAGCCTTGTCCTAAGCTGTGTGGTGCATTTTAGCCATACTGTTTCCAGCTAATTGTGTATCCCCCTGGATTGCTTTCTTTAGCTTGGTCTGTGATTTGGGGAATTGGCTGGGTAGCAGACACTGCTAGTGCTTTTGGACTCTCCAGGGCCTTAACTCCTACAATGCCTAATATAGAGCTGAGGAAATTATAACTTTTAAACAATTGTTTTATTTTAATGTAAATTTATTCCAGGAATTCATATTCATGTGGAATTATTTCTTCTCCAAGGAAAATATTTGACAAATTAATTTAGCCCCACTGAGTTTGTCCCATGGTTGATAAGGTGACACCTTTTACAAGTTCTCAATGTGAATGGCAATCTTATTTTCGTTAGTCACCATTACCTTATCTGAAAAATTAATATGAAAATATGGAACATAAAAAGAAATAGAAGGTACTCTGGAGGACTTCTAGTCCAACCATGGTGAGGAAGATGCACCAAGAAAATAGCACACCTCTTTAAAGCCTTTCACTACTCAGGTTTAAAAAGGTTGGATTTTAGAGTAGAGAACCAAAGTTAGTCTCCCTCCCATGACATAGGGCTTCTACTTTACAACATACTTGATTTACACTCAGTTATCCATTGTTCTGTCATGCCCCATCGCAATCATAGCATTTGATGATCTTTAGAGGACAGAAAATAATCTACAGATTTTTAGGGATAGTTTTTCTTCCCTAAAAAGATAATGAATAAGAAAAACAAGAGTCATTTGACCCTTAGATATATCATCTACCAAAAAGAAAATTAACTTCACCCTGGCTGGTGTAGTACAGTGGTTAGAGTGCCAGCCTGTGCACCAGAGGGTCTCGGATTCGATTCCCAGTCAAGGGCATGTCCCCGGGTCACATGTGGGAGGCAACCAATTGATGTGTCTCTCTACTCCCCTTCTCTATCTCCACGTCCTCCCTTTCATTCTCTCTCTAAAAATCAATGGAAAAAAAATATCCTCACTCCTTGGGTGTGGATTAAAAAAAGAAAATTAACTTCAATACTACAAGGAGGAAACATGTTTCTTTCAATAAAGAAAAAGTACTTCCACAGCAGTCTTTCAAAACAATATATTTTCAGATACTCTGTCAAAATTTGTACATCCAAAACACAGTAATTTGTTCATTCATTCAGCATGTCCTGAGAATCTGCTATGTGCCAGATACTGTGCTAGGTGCTGAAGATAGAAAGATAAATAACATGTCCCTGTTCTCAAGGAGCTCATGGGCTACAGGAAGGGATCTTGGTGAGGTGAGCCTCTGCTATGGTGGATAGTCCTAGTGATAACAACTGTTAGGAGAACCCTGGAGAAATCCAAAAGCAAAAAGCAAGTCTGAATCTTACTCAGCTAACAAATGATCATTGAAAACTGGTTATTGTGTCACTCTTTTTCCCTGCATGTGAATAAAACTTGGCACTTTGTTAAGACAGTCGCTTTACTCATAAAATTTACTACTTGATTTATTTTTGAAAATACTATACAGATGGTTTTACATTGTTATTATTAAAATAAACCTTTTAACTGTGTATATTTTAAATTTTTCAGAATCAGAATCTTGAACTGCCTATGTTATTGTCCTACAAGCATATTGACAGTGGTTACAGCTAGAAAAGAAAGCATGAAGAAACAACTACAAAAAGTTAATCATCTCAGGATACTCGATATGCAACAAACTAAACAACTCTCTTATGTCTAGGGTTCAGAATAAATGTCCATTAAAATACCAAAAGACTATTGTAAGCATTTACAGTTATTGTAAGTAGCCATTATGGCCAAAGCTCTATGTTACAAAATATACGAAAGTTGAAAGCAAGAATATTTACAATTACTGGCTTTAGATAGAATAATATAATTACCAAGTGGGTGTTCTTTTAACCCATGAATTTTGTGAATGGATTTAAATAGAATAGTATAAAATAGAAGTCATGCAATGGGAATGAATAGATTTTGCTAATATTTCTTTTTCTGCCTGGTGGAAGAAATCAGCTCTTTGGATGACATTTCTTGTTC